ATTCGTTATCAGCGTAAGGCCCTCATGTTGAGCGTCTACCCGTAAGTTGCGTCCCTTTATATTCTCGACAGTGTATCCCCAAGCAGCGTGTGGTGCGTTAAAGTCACCGACTAATACGAGAGCCTGTCTCTCCGCTATGCTCAGGGCTTTTTAGAAAAGTGGACCAAATTTGAGCCTCTGTCGGTGTGGGCTATAAATGTTAAGCACGAAGAGGCTGCCCTCTTTCTTACGGGAGGGTATTATTTCTATATGGACGTGGTCTATGCTGTGCACTCCGGTATCATGCTCTACAGCCGTGAGATTTCTATGCACCAGAGTTGTGACAGTCGCCTTCTCACTAGAAGTACTATACGACTTGTACCCCGACAACTTTGCCGTCCCCCCGGTGTCCTGCAGGGCGATGACATCTGGCACTTCCCTGTTTATCACTAATTGCTGCAGGTTCCCTCGTTTCTTAGCGCACCCATGGCAATTTCACTGCCTAATAACGTAATGGTTACGTGGCGCCATGTTTATTTATGGGATCCTCCCCGGTGACCTTGCTGGTTTCTACTGTGGGTGTTCTACTATACGATTTTAATTTAACCGGACCCACACCATACGACCTAATGTCCTTCGGCGTGCTCTCTATCGCTAACACCCTGTGCTCGAGTCCATCAAATTTAAGCTTTATTTAGACGTACATGCAAGTAATTTGGTTTTGTATTTCCTCAAACATTTTGAACAATTCCTTAACCTCACTAATCGAAAAATTACCGGCTTTCTCTGCCTCTTCCTGCGCCCTCCTTTTTAGTGGCGGTGGCTCACCGCTCGTTTGCGAGGGAACAGATGTTGGGGCTCGATTAAGCGTTGGTATTTTGGTATTAAGCATTGGTATTAAGCGTTGGTAACAGAGGGAGTGTTAGGCGTCGCACCTGCGTTGCGCACCTCCTGAAGCTTCGCATTTTTTTCTTTCAGTTGCTTAATCTCTTCTTTAAGCGTTAGGTTCTCTCTAGTGACCTGTTCTAACATTTTTTTTTAATCTACATCATTTTTCTTCTAAGGCGGACCCTATAACAATACTTGGAGAGGCAGTGCCGGAGACCACACTTGCAAAGCTCATCTGCGCGCTGCCGCTCCCTATAGTGGCTCTTGAGTGGGACCTTAGCCTTGATCTTGATCTTGGTTTGGAGCGGGACCTCGACTGTCTTAGACTCTTTCCCCCAGTAAGCTTTGAGAAGGATGCGGAGTGGTCTCGTGCGAGGCCATTCACACTGTTTTGCCTGTTAGTGTCCTTATCTGACTGCTGGCTGGTTGTTGTGTTGTGGTCCTCGTCATGGCATACGCCGACTTCCTTGTACTGGTAGCAGGCTTCAGCGCACTCTGCCCGTGCTTCCTCCTTGTCTCGCCTCGTCCGTTCCCAGCGACGCCTCCTAACCAGGTACGGTATCTTGTATCTTGCCTTACATCTCCTGTCTCCAGTGGGGTGATCTTTGCCACATAACTCGCATTCCACTTCACAACGGTGATCTAGCGCTGGATTACCGCATCCACATCCCCTGCACACCTTGTCGTTGGGGTAGGGACACACATCTGCTCTATGTCCAAGTCTCTGACAACCGTAGCAGACATCGAAGTGTTTTCTGTATAGCGTGCACTTAACGAGCATTGCTCCATACCTCACATATCTCGGAACGCGAAACCCCTCAAACAGCACAATAATGTTGTCCGTGTTTCCCATTCTTTTTGCATGAAGGACTCCTCGGTTACGTGGAGTAACCAAGTTGCTGAGGATGTCTTCTGGGTTCTCTTCCTTGGACACCCCTCGTATAAGTCCCTTTGACGTGCTCTCCGAGGCTGCCCTGTATGCACAGGTCTCAAGTTTCTGCTGACCTATTCGTAGTTTGGTAATAGCTCCATATTGCCAGGCTCGATCCTCAGACGAGTATGTTCTGCGTGTTTTTGATGCACATACTGTCTTCCACAACCACCTCCCGGCCGACCCCCGCAGCGTTGCGCAGGCAGCAATATGTGCGATCCATCCTGTATTTTGAGACGTTAAGTCCACCATGCGGACGCACAATGACCCTATAATCTTCCTTCAGCAGATTAGGCAGTCGACTCGCCCCGATGATTTCTCGAGCGTTCCGCTCATTCTTCCATTTGTTTCCTGGCACCTTTTCTGTGAAGGGCGTCTCTCGCTGCGTATTTCCCGCTGAGCCGGGCTCCCGGTCGACCTGCGTCTTGGCGCCTTTTCGCACTTCGCACCAGCCTGACCCTCTTTCAAACTCTTCCGGTGATAAGTCTTCTCCATCCCCAGTTACGACCTCCATTTTGGCATAAATGGGGCCTTCGAAGAGGAACGCGGGGGGCTCCAAACAGCTCCGACGGCGCGTTCGGCCGAGCTCTCCACACCGCCGTGGCGGTGGAGGCAATAGCGTTCAGTTCGCGTTCGCTGAGCTTAGCTGCCACGTTGACGTGGTGACCCAGAAAACGCGGTTGTTGCACCAAAAAAAATGCAGCCCACTAGTCAAAACGTGGTGTCCAGAAGATCTCCAGAACTTCCGTCCTCCACTGGTGTAAAAAATGGTGCTAGGAACTTCGATATTGTGCCGATAATCATAGAAAAACTGCGGAGCCGGTACGACGTGCGTCCGCACTTCGTGGTCCCCAAGCGGCGAGTACCCTCAAAAAGTTTCAAGTGTCAGACCTTGTTTAGACGAATTGCTTTCCTAAAGAGCGGTGACATCACCTCCTAAGAGTTATCATAGCCACTTCCCATACCGTCATCATGTTCACAGCACATTATGGTGTTGCTTCGTCAACCTTGTTCAGCACTGAATTTTTTTTTATTCTTTTCTTTAAGCTATCATGAGTGCGCTCGGGCGACGAACTTACGGCTGACGTGCAAGACTGTTGTCCTACCGAGAGCTGAGTAGTATAAAGAGTCGAGTGACGATGTCAAAGATGTTAGTTCAAAGTACCGCTTAGTGGGTGATTTCCATCTTGTGGTGTTGGTTTTCTTTTTTCTTGTAATATAAAACCACTATAAAATCTAGTTGGATGTTCATAATCGACAGTCGCAATGACTTTCCAAACACAAATACGACCCAAGGCAGGTTTAGGCAGTACGAGGTTTTGACAGCTGTCGCAATTATTATTTCACACTCCTCTTGTGTGTACCCTGTGTGTTCTTCTTGCGCGTTCTTTGTTTCCTAGTCACGAGCTTTAAGAATCAACCTACTAGCCAACTTGAGCATCACTTTCTGATTTGTTGCTATTCCATTTATTGTTTCACGGTCTCGAAGAAAATGTGGCTATTTTCAGAGAAATACGTATACAAAACAAGAGTTTTATGTAGAGCACAGTAACCGTAGGCTATTATTTCAAGGCAACTCAGAACTGCAGTTTTCGTGAAATTTAGTGATTTGTTAAAAAATCTAAGCAGAAATCGTACGTGCTTTACAGAAGGTATGAGAAATACCCGTTGTCCCGAAGTTTTGTTGTCTCCTTTGACTTATGTCAAATGAATAAAACGTTTACTTTAAGCAGGACCATCGCGTCCCTTTTTTTTGTCCGCGCCTTTCTTTTCACTGGTCGCCATTCAACATGACTGAATGTCTATGAGGTTCACCCGTTCAACATATTAGAAGGTAGTGAACGAACAAAGGCAAAGCGTTTTTCCTAATAATTACATAGAAATGAAATAAATACTGACACAACAAAATCTGCTAAATGCCTTGGTCTTACCAGCCACATGTCCTCGCAGAGCTATAGCTTTTCTAACCTACTTCCTTCCAAGGCTAAAAGAATAAGACACAGAATCGGACAAGGAGCACCAGTAAATAATATTACTGAATCAGAAACACGTTAGTTTTTTTCTTGTGCAAAGAAGGAGCTGTGATGATCGAAAAGGGCAGCTTTGCCAAATAAAACGTATACAAACAGAAGAATAAATGCATAAATGAATTTGTTTATATTCAATTGTTAAAGAATTTTATTTGCCTTTGGTTACTAATCACTGTGTACTTGTGGTGAAATGTCGGTTGTTTTATCCTTGTACTAGCAGCCTCCAGGCTGCCGCCATTCCACGTATCACGCTTCACTAAAGTACGTACAACATGAGAGGCTATAATTCACCACTTTAAACATCACAAAATACTGCACCCAATATTAAACAAAAAATAAAATTGACGGCGCAGGGTCAGAAACAATCCCAGCTAAAGCTGGACGAGTTGCCTCTGTAGAGCTGACAGTAAACTGACTTAAGGTATCTGCTACATGAACATTTGCAAAGTACCCACTACGTCATAAACAATTACAACTTTGTGAATTATGGAAGGAACCAATCTGTCATTATTTGTTATTCTGCGGAGAAAATAGGTGCACACTACACATCTGTAGATTATTATATAAGCTTTGGAGATGCTGTGACTGATGATGAAGAACGATGCCTAATTTCTTTGCAATTGGTTTTGTGCTTTTATTAAACGATCCACTCGTTATCTCAAGGCATTGTGTCGCGCCTGGCTGGTATTTTGCTATTATGTTGTACAATATGCTTATGTTAAGTCATTTTTTAGCCGACGCGTCTCCGACGAGATGCCTTGTATTCGGTTTTCTTTTGACGAAATAATTTAAAGCACTGGCGTAGCTCTTATGTGAAATAATCGAACGCCATGCAGAGTGCCTGGGCTGAAAATCAACCAATCCTATTTTATTTTAGTGTTAGTGGTTACAGACACCGGTTGCAGCTATGGCGACGGCACTGGTAAACAATGTAGCCAACTTAAGTTGCCACTGTTATGTCACAAGAGCTCTCGCTATGAAATACGAATACTCGAGAGTAGACGTAAACCAAATATTCTGAGCCAACATTTATGCGGGAAAAAAATAAAAACGCTGAAATCTTGTAATATGAGTATGATAAAAGATTTTAGCAGAAAAAATCAAGTCGTGAAATATATGTAGGGGAGCGTTTAGTTCAATTTATAATGTGACAAATGCTGTATATTCCTTACGCTTCTTGGCATCATTCGGTGGCAGAAAAACGCCCTTGAAGAAAACGTCCGGACCTCGGGAAACACAACTGAAAGAGACGGTGCTCATTAGGAGACGCAACAAGCACTTTTTTTAATATGTAGGACACAATGATAAATCAGCTTATCAAGAAAGCTGGCGACGTTATTCATTTCGTTTGTATGCGTTTGAGAGCCTGAAAAAAACAAAAAATACAAAATAAGGCTTTCTGACGTCATACTATATAGAGAAGGGCACATTTGATATTTATGATGCATTTTGAGTAACATTCATGTTCCGAATACGGATAGCAGCTACATTCTAGTTAAGCCGATTCTCATGGCCAAGTATTTAGCTCAGTGTCAAAGCGCAGGGGGTCAGCGACGGAAAGGCGCGCACGCACGAGCGCGATACACAATAGACCTATGTAAGTTACAGTTATACGTCGCATGTCTGTGCCACTTTCCGCACCATTCTCCTTTAAATGTTTTTTTGTTACACGTAGAATCAGCACTCCATGAAAGTACTCAATGTCAATGTTTTTGGAAATAAAGCGTGAAATGTACACGTTAGCAATGGTTTCTCGAGTGATGATGAAGTCCAAGCGCCGAGATATCTCTGAGCCGCACTCCTCACCTTAATTTAAGAAGGAAGACAGCTCATCAAATAATATACTTCGACTGGCAATAAATGTACATCTTTAGCTATAACGACCAATATTAGCAACCATTTGATTATACTGTTCACCTAAAATTACAGTTCGTCTCGCCTTCAGCGATTGTAGTCCTCTAATAATTATGATATCTGCGCTACTAAAACCAAAAACCACGGTATCAATATGGAGGACGTCAGGATGCAGGGTTCAGAAATTTTCGACTATTTGGGGTCTTTTACACTGCACTGAGATCGAACAGCACACGTGCCTCTAACGTTTCGCCGCCGTCGAAATAGACCCCCGCGGCTAGGAAAGAACGTGCAGTGTTCAGGTCACCAGCCATGCACAGTGACCGCTATCGTGCAGTTTCCTGCAGGAGGCACAAACCATAGTTTTTTTGCAGAGCCTTGCTTAGCCACGTGTTGCGTGGGGGGGGGGGGTAGGGTGAATTGCAAGCAGCAAACACATTTTAAAGAACAGAAAATACGTTTCAATCGCAAAGTTTCGACACCACCTGAAACCGAAGTCTCATAACAAAATGACAATTTGGTTTTTAATGGACAGAATTTGAAAGTAGCCCTGAAAGAAGTCAAGATGTTTTTAAATGCGAAGCATTTTTTAGCGAACTTCGGTGAGTTTGACCATATCTATCCATCTATCTATTTATCTATCTATCTATCTATTAATGTACGACTCTAAGTGTCCTCGCCGTTTTGATGATGGAATCTATACAAAAGTTGGTACGGCATAACTTGACTGTATGACGAGCGTAAGTGACTGTCTTAACAAGAAAACAATCAAATGTATGTCATGAATGTCTTGACTTATATCATGGTGTAATGATATAACGTATGGTTCTTTACGTAAAGAAGGTTGGGAGCGTGATAGGTCCCAACGAACGACGAGACTGCTCGCTGGTTTAAGAACAACACTTTATCGAAAAATGGAAAACCAAGCACACCATCGTCTTTGCGAAAGTGTACCTCGGCGGATGGATGCACACCATTCGGAGAGTTGGACGCGTCGGGTGACGCGAAGAGACGAGCGACGCGGGATGGCTTCAAAGCAGTTGGTGACAGCTTCTTAAGAGTCCAGCAACGCCTTGTATGAGGTGACGAATAACGTCTTGTGGCTGGGAAGCGCCGGAGCCGGAGGACGTCAGCGGTCACGTGAAGCCCGTAGCTTCAACTCATGGAGCGCGTCTTAGAGCCCGATTACCCGACTGCCTCAGACGCCCAGTTTCGTCTGACCTTCACTCTCCTCCTTCTCTTTTCTCCTTACAAGCTCGCACCGTTGGCGCACTCTCGCAGCAGCAGCCAAGTGACGTCCCATTATCAGTGGTCTTGGCGGGGGAAACCGCTTCCGCATTCTAAGCTCATTCGGCCGCAGTCGTCGGTTCTTCAGATGCTACGCGTAGGTTCATTCCCATCTCGCAGCGAATTCAGCCACGTCGCTGATGGCATAACTCCAGGATGCCCTAGTTGTGAGGCACATAACTGCACACCTACTCACATGCTCTGGCTGTGCCCAGCGTTACATGGCGCAAAGTTCCTCACAGAAGAAGAATGGGGGAGGGCTCTTAATAGCTCTGATTTCTCAGTCTAATACTCGGAAGTTCAGGAGGCTTGCGAACGTGCGGAGAGCTATGGTCTTCCATTCCTGGCGTGAACGTGGCCAGAAACTACGGCAGAGCCTTATCAGGGGGGTGCCTAACCAGTTCCCCGCGACCAAATAGAGTTCATTTCACTTCAGCGGCGTCTTCATCATCATCATCCTTCTTTTCTATCAAATCACAAAGGAGCACTGCAGATCTTTGCGCCCACATCACACATGGTCCTGCTGCTCTTGCAGTGATTTTGTTCACATGACATATCGTAGAACTGGTATGGTAAGACAAGACTGCATGGCGAATATAAGTGACATGAAAGAAGATGACCACATGCCACGTTCATGATGCGTTCGCAGTAGTTTCGCGAGCTTCACATACACCACATTTAGTAATACGTGATGTTAATGGATAATTAAAATATTGAATGGTGCAAACATGATATACATAACTTGTACGATGTAGTCGTGTAGGAACATGACTACATCCCATGGTAATGACACGCTCGCGGTCGCTTTGATAGATTCACATACTACACAATTGGTATTACCTGACGTGAATGAATGATGAAGGCATATGACTGGCGCAAACACGATATACATGAACTTTGTGTCATGTAAAAACTTGACTTCAAGCCACGCCTATGATACGCTCGTGGTCGTTTAACTAGCTCTAAATATACCAAGTTTGATATTAGCTGACGGGAATGGATGACAAAGGTATATGGCTAGTGTGATACATGATAAACATGACATGCGTGTCGCGTAAAAACGTGACTACATGACGCGCCTATGATGCGCTCACGGTCATTTCACATGCTTCACATTAAATAATTTAGGTATTACTTGCGGTGAAGGATTACGAAGGTATACGGCTGGTGCAAACACGATTATCATAGTAAGAGTGTCATGTAGGAGCATGACTACATGCCACGCCCATGATGCGCTCGCGGTTGTTTCGCTGACTTCACGTGCACTAAATTACGTATTACGTGACGTGAATAGATGACGAAGATATATGACTCGTGCAAACATCATTATCATAACATGTGGGTCATATAGGAACATGAAAACATGCCACGCTCATGATGCACTCGCGGCCGTTACGCTAGCTTCACATATGCCAAATTTGGTATTACGTGACACAAATGAACGACAAGCAAAGCGCAAACATGATAACCATGATATCGAAATCATGTACGGCATAATTTACTTTCGCCACGTAACGTTGTACTGATTTTAGTGTGGCAATCGCACTTTTCTTACTGCCCCGCCATGGTGGTCTAGTGGCTAAGGTACTCGGCTGCTGACCCGCAGGTCGCGGGTTCGAATCCCGGCTGTGGCGGCTGCATTTTCGATGGAGGCGGAAATGTTGTATGCCCGTGTACTCAGATTTGGGTGCACGTTAAAGAACCCCAGGTGGTCAAAATTTCCGGAGCCCCCCACTACAGCGTCTCTCATAATTATATGGTGGTTTTGGGACATTAAACCCCACAAATCAATCAACTGCACTTTTCTTATTCGTGCTTCGCATATCATCGATTCTCAAGGTACGTGGTATCTGACAATTTCTTTTCTTCTTTTTTTTCTATACAGTGAAAGCTCTATATGGCTACGAGAAACAGAAAACTGTCCGGCAGCAATGTCATGAACCGTCTTCTTAGGCTGTCCTATCAGTTACGTTATTGTCAGCGTCACGCGAAACATGCGTGCCATTGGCTTCGTTGTGAGCTCCGTCATTCATCTTGTCGTACCCGCGGCGCCGAGCACGCGCACTTCAGTTTCTAGAAACACCTACCACATAGGTATGCCACAGACAACTCTAGAAGAGCGCCGATCGTAGCGACATGAAAGAGCTCGCATTCGCCGGGCTGATGGTGCAGTCCGGGCAGAAAAAAATGAGCCCCGAATCTGCTTGTTACACTGCAAATATCGCTGAGGTACGATAGTCTTGCGTCTAGAGAGAGTGAAGAAAACGTTTACTTTGAAAAAGGGTTTATTGGCGACTGTTGCGACGGTAGTCCTACAATGAAACACAATCGGACAAGAGCAACGTTCAAGCAGATGCCGGCGATGATCAGCACGAGCCGAGCAAGAGAAGCCCAGCCCCCAGTACCCAAGCGGTGGCGATGTTGCTTGCCAACAATGCGTTTTCTTCTTCGCAATTTGCCCCCGCCGAAAAAGAGCCATCCTGGCGACCTAAGAGTCTGGAGGCAGAGGGCTATGATATGGCTTAAGGCGGGTGACGTGGACGATGTATCGTTCACGCCGGCGCATGTCGTCAGATGGGGAAAGTGGCTCAATGAGAAAATTCACCGGCGAGATTTGCTCCAAAACGTGGTATGGGCCCTCGTACTTTGGAACGAGTTTTGAGCAAATGCCGGGGGTTTGGTAAGGAACAGCCAGCCATACAAGTGATCCCGGGGAATAGCTGGGGCTTTGTGAAGAGTCGGCATTGTTTTCTTTCTGGCGCTGTTGTTCTTGGGACGTAAAGGTGCGTGCGAGTTCAGGGCACTCTTCCGCATTTCGGGCAGCTTCGGACACAGATGGGCATTCGGATGCGTCAGGACGGTATGGAAGGAGAGTGTCGATGGTGTGGGATGGTTCGCGTTTATAAAGAAGAAAGAAAGGTGAAAAAACAGTGGTAGACTGTGCCGCGGTGTTATATGCGAAGGTGATGAAAGGAAGAATGCGATCCCAGTTAGTATGATCGGATGTCACATACATGGCGAGCATATCGCCAAGGGTGCGGTTAAATGTTTCCGTGAGTCCGTTAGTCTGCGGGTGGTATGCCGTGGTCTTGCGATTAA